AGGAAGACCAAAGGGAAGTCTCCTAAGTTGCCTTCTCCATCGGAAGGCTCATGTGACATAGTGGATCGTCTCTCAGACATGACTTTCCGAATAAAATGTGGTCTGTGAGGTAAGCTGAAGGTGGTGCATGCCAACAGGTTTTGGCGTTATCACGGTCCAGGACATTTCAGTTGGAAGGAAATGAACAAAGGAACAAATGCCACTGTTGAAGAAGAAACTACCCAGTTTTGAGAAGGAAAACAGTGAAGCCGTTAATGAAGTTACCACCACTGATGTGCCTGCTACCAATAACGGGACATTTCCTGATTGAGCAGATGAATCCCACTTAAAGAAGACCAGTACGAAAGAAGAAATGTCCCATAAAATTTAGAGACTTTGTTGTATTGTAATTTTGTGTTTGTAAATTCTGTACATTTAATTAAGTTATTGTTAATTACCTATTGGTTTAATGTAAGTGGCTATTGTTTGGGACAAATAATACTAAGGAAGGGGAAGAAGTCACATGACACTGGTAACACGTGATGAATTTCTCGATTGATCATGAATTATACAAGTATATATTTTTAGTATACAAGCCTGGCAGAGAAAGCCTGTGAGATGAATGAAGAGAGTTTTGGGTAATTTACGATTCTGTTGAGCTAGTGTGTGAAGTTATCGAGATTGTGAATCGCTGTGATTTATGGCGTGTATTATAAAAGTAGTTACGTTTAAAATGATGAGAAATGTATTGATTGTGAAATTGTGTGCTAAAAGTTTGTATCGAGAAAGAATAAACTGAATTAATCAAGAAAGGTCTTGTATCACTGAAGTTCCTCAGAAAGAATTTCCACCAGAAATTAACAAACAAGCAGATATGCAACAGTATTTTTCTCCATAGAAAAAGCTGCTGTAGAACTGTAGTGTTTGAACAATATGGCAAGTTTTGCAACACATACCTGAAGAATACATCTTCCCTATGTTATTTTACTATTGTGTTAAGACAAGGAAGCTATTCAGGAAACGAATTCAGAAGAATATCTATTGATAATGGGTGACTTTAAACGTAGGAACAGCATACAGACTGGACCACATGACCTTGAAGAACAATATGACAGAGAAAATAGATTAGTAAAGTTTTGTAAGCAAAAAGGCTCAGATATAAGCAACATTTGGTTAAGCATCACCCTAAACACCTGAATACTTGGAGGTCACCATAGGATGGTGAAAGAGTTGTTATAAATCAGATAAACTATATCCTAGTTATAAGAACTTTCAGAAGCTATTACAATACTTAGAACTTATACAGGAGTAAACTGTAGTTCTAATAACAACAACTGATTGGGAAAATAAGACTTATGCTGAATAAGATGAAAAACAGAGGCCACACCATTGGCAAGAACAATTTAGAAAAAACACATAGCCAAGGATTTTGTAATAGGGACAATAAACTGATCAGAAATATTAATAAAATCACTTGCACACAAGGATGCTGAATATCAGTGCATTAAGTTTATAAAACAGAAGAGAAGAAGTAAAACCAAAATCTGGATGATTCCAATATATTTAAGTGAAAGAAGACAACTATAAAAAAAGACAGAAATATTAGGAAGTGGATAAGGAAGTCGTGGGTTTGTGTAGAGAAGAAGGGGGGAGGTGAGTATCCAAGTAAATGTGCAAATAATGAGAAATGGGAGGCAACACATAACATGCATGAAATACTTAAAAGAATAAAAAGAGTTCAATAGGAAACTTAACTTGTCTTCCAGTGGAGACATTAAAAATAAAGGCAATAAGACACTTTTTGAAATTAACAATGTGAAAAAAGAGAGAAGGGTCAAATATATGAGGAAATTGTAAAATGACGCCAAGAAAATGGAACCAGCTCTAGAAGTGATAAAACTAATTAACAAAACCATTTGAAGTTAAAAAAAAAAAATTATGAAGCAAAACAAGATTACAGTAGAATCTTCAAAGAAAATGGGCATTTTAGGGATTAAAGGTTTGAATGCAAATTATAACTCAATTTATAGGAGAAGGACAATGCTAACAGACTTTAAAAGGTGCGTGTTTCTGTGCCAATTCCCAAGATACCAAACATTATGGAATGTAATACAGGAATATCATCTTGATCA